CCCCCAAAACCCCAAAACCCCAACAGGTTAATTATTTTAGAAATGATAATTATGAAATTAAGATTTATATAATTACTAGAGTGTGTGCTTTTTAGTCTTATTTAATTATTTCATCTTTTATGCTGTGAATTTTGTTTTAAAATTTTGTTTTAAAATGCAATCTTTTATATGTTGTCACTCTCTTTGAACGATTTTTATTTCATGCTTTATGATTTAGACTTCATAGTAAGAGTTGTTGCTTAATTGCTCTTTTCTTTTAATTTTTTCTTTGATTTGTTGATTTCTTGAAAAACATTTGTTTAATTGGTTAGTGGAAGTGGATTTTTATCAGTTATGACTGAAGAATTTTTAAATATTTTTTATTTGTTGTTTTTAGATGTGCTTGATTTCTTAGCTCGCATTCTTCCCTTTACCTTCTGACTCTATTCTTATAACTATGTTAGCAATACTTGACTAGTATTTTACCAATTTTTACCATCCTTATACACCTCTACTTAACTTTTTCGATTTCTACATTTTTATTCCAGTTTTTTATAAATTTAGATTAAGAGCTTAAGTATTAAATGCATCCAATTTATTAAGATATTTAGTAATATGACCAAAACTGCGAACCATCCTGTGTTAATTTTAATGTCTCTAAATAATTAATAAACACAAACTTACATTGAATCTTCATTAAAAGTATCTATGGCAACTGGAATAAGACAATAACCAACAATCAGTAGAGTGGCTTCATTGAATATTTCTATTTTTTAAGGGCTTTTTTGAGTATGAGGCATGAACGCAATTTGATATATAAGCATGAAAAAAGAAGACTAGATTAGAAAGTAAATTTAAATCACTGCACTTTCAATAATCATAACAAAGATTATAGCAAGAAAAAGTCTTCTCAGGAAAAATATGACGCTTGTGAGCTTATGCATGATTGACTCAGTTTTGTATGTTTCATATAGAGATCCAAACTTTTCTTTGAAACCAGGTTTATTTAATTCGCCTTCGTATTTCGTTAAAAATTTTATAGTCATGTAAGGTATAAAAGAGAGTACGAGGCAAAGAATAATTGAAAAGCTCAAATTCATAAAATCTCCATCATACTATCATCATAAAGTCAAGAAAATTACATTTTTAATCGCAATGAGACAGGCAATCATAAAATTAAAGTATCCTTTTAAAATGGAACGAATAAATGCATTGTAAAATATTTTATTCTTGATTTTAAGCATAAGATTTTAAAGTCTAAATCTTTATCAAATGTTTTTAATTTACCTTGGACTTGTGCGCACTTTAATCAATAGTAGCTTTACTATAATACCAACTAGAAAAATCATGATTAAAACTATAAATACTGTCCCAAGATTGCTTAACAAAAAATTAGATTAAACTCGTAAATGTTAAGGAGTTAGTAAATAACAAATTCTAATGTTCAAAAGATATCCATAATTTGCTCATTCACGTTGGTGTTAACTTTTTCATCATAGATATTGAATAATCTCTAAGAGACATAACTCATATAATCCTTAGGAATTAAATCAAAATTAGCAATATTTAGCAGTTCCTTTAAGAGTATGATCAAGTTAAATGGCATCGAAAACTTTATCAAAGGAATGTATACTAATATCTATAAAGTATTCATCAAAAGCCACAA